GACTTTTTAAATAAATTTTGTTCCGAATGAAAAATCAGTTTTGTAATACCGGGAATTATAAATAAATTTTTATTTTATTGATTTATCATTATAGACAAAATTTATTTTAAAAACCCAATCCTTTCCAAATAAAACTGAAAAAGTACATTTTAACTCGATAAATAGTTTTCGAGATTAAAATTCCCAAGTACATACAATCGATTTTCACAAAAGTCGTAAATTTCAGAGACCTGTATTATTTAAACAAATTCTAAATCAACAAAATGATGACTTAAATATTATTATATTATTGATCAGTTTACTTCAATAATTTTGTAAGGAACATGCATTTCTAGTGCCTCACAAAACAAAGAATACTGTTTGGAAGTATTTCATCCTCACTAATGCTGGTGGCAAATGCAAACTTTGTTTTATTTGTCATATTTTGAACGTAAATTATAAATATACAAATTTGATTTAAAAATTTCCAAATTTATATAAAACACGATAACCCATGGATATTTCAATGTTAAAATAGATAGTATACTGAAGTGGTATCTTGAACGATTTTATAAATCGATTTTTTAATAGATCGATTCTTCAGAGTTCGATTTCATACTGCATCGAATTTTGAATGAATTCAATAATTGATTCTTCTTACATGAATCCAACAACCCTAATTCGACATATATCACGACCTTTTTAGTACAATTTTTTTGCATTTCTCTCAACTAGTTTCTTTTAATTTATTTCATAATATATTTTGCAAAATCGTCGCACTGTTCCCAGTACTTTCTCCAGCATTTTTTAAAACTTATAACGTGGTTTTCTTTCGAGTTATATTAATTTTACGAGACAACGAAAAAATTAAATAGAAGATATGAAATGCAACAATTTGTGAAGCATATAAAAGTGTAAATAGACGCTCTTACCTGATTGATGGACCCGCTCGAAAACAATAAACAAGCGAAACAGTTGCTCAACAACTCGAGTAAATAATGTGAGACAACTGATAATAGCAGGAAATAAGAAAATCGCGCGAACTTGAAATGCATTTCAACGTCACGGAGGTCACCGGTGACCTCCAGCAAGATAAATCCATTAAACATTATTATACGCCTGAACTTATCTGTTGTAGGTAGATAATATTTCAACATAATATGTACATATCACGAGATACGAAATGCGTGTTGGCATTCGACGTGTTAAACATTTTTATTTTATTTAAAATTCGCTCTCTGTAAAATCCTCTCAATGGACAAAATCTCGATTTGTAAGAGGCAATTGAATAGCGTTTGTTTAGTTTTTTATGGGAATTATGAAACTATTTGAAAGATAGGAATCGATCAGGGCGCAAAAATTTATTATCGAATGAAGATATTTCCCATCATTAAAGTACAAAAACTGAGATATTTTACGTCTTGCAACTTGTGCAAACATTTAGCGAACCAGTCCAACGATTCCTTTAGAAAATATTTCAACTGTCATCAAAATGTTCGCGAAGCGTCGATTTTAATATTCAGAGGCCCTGATAAACGTCTGAACCGTTTGATCATCCTAACATTATTGGTTGATGGTGTTTCTCGTGCGCGTAGCTCGACGATTCGAGCGTCCGGCCGCGCGCGGCTACTTACGAGCCAAGATAAAAGCCGATGGCGAGCTAACGAGAAAGTTGAACGCGCAGTTTTAAGGATATTCGCAAAGGACGCGGAAAGGCTGTTCGATGTCGTTGGTCTAGCTGTCTGGTAGTACGGTAGACGAGGAGTCCGGGAGTCAGCGGCCCTGACCGTGGAAATCAGAAAGAAGAACTCAGGAAGGAAAAGAAACCGGCCTGTAGAAACGCTTGGAAGGAGTAGCAGAAAAGAAGAGAGAAGCAGCGACGCGGACGATCAAGGTAGAAGGAGGACACGTAACGAAAGAAGGAGGGAAAAATACGAAGGTGAAGCCAGAATGGAGGAAGGGGGGAGGGGGACGATCATTCTCGGAACTTGGGTGACCTCCCCTGGTGCAACTGGCGAACAGCCGGACCCAACGGGTTAACTGTACAACCACTTATGTACCTCGATGCTATAGGAATGCGACAACGATGCCGTCCCATGAAATAACGCACTACACGCCGCGGCATGACATACCATACCATGTGCTCCCCGGCCCTATACGAGGGAACGCGTTGCAGCCTATACCGGTGATCCTGCATTGGAAGGAGGAGCTTGGATCACGTCATTCATTCACCTGCTCCGGCCACCTCGCCGCTCTCTGCCAACCGACCGCCTGATCTATTGTTCCTTGGAAATTCTAACCGTTCGTCGATCGCGGCGATCCACCGTGTCGGATCGCGGAACACCTCGCTTATTGTCTCGAACGTCGGCCCTCGTAGCTTTTTCTGCTTCCCGTCGTATCTCACTAGCCACGGCCTACCTCCGCGCCGATCGCGTTTACCCTCAGAATCCATTCGGCTTTTTCGCTAGCCTCCGCGACGTGTTCTTTTCTTACGATACGCGTATCGTTTACTCCTCAATTAAATTCTGCCCTATGCCGAGAGCGGCCGCGAATCTTTCGCGACGCGAGAGCTAAGGTCGTACGAGACCTTAGTTACCGCATTCCTGCCGCCTGAACGGACGGTTTTTCCACCTCTCCTTCCCCTAGTTTACCGAGTATCCGATCTTGTCGAGCCATTCATTCGGCTAGTCTGTCTCCTCCGATGAGTCTCGGGTACCGTTTTCTTGCTTCTTACGGTTGAATCGGATTCTCGTCGACCTACGGATCGTTTCTCGGTCGATTTGCGGTCCGGCTGACTCCCGGGGCAGCCCCCCGTTTACCGGAAATTCCACCGGTCGTCTAGCCTCGATCCGTTTTCCATTGTCTCGGATGAAAATTTTTAATGCTCGCTTCTGGCACCGTCGTGGATTAAAACAGCCCGTAACGCTGGAGGAACGATTCGCTCGGGGGTAAACATTTCTTCGCCATTCCAGCGTGGATTCCTCTGGCACGGTTCATTCATTCCTTCGGCCCCACCATTTTTACCTCGAGATTCTTCGTTTCGCGTAAATCGCCACGGTGCGCGTCTCGCGTTCGGAAGAAAAGATCTACGGAACTGAACGAGGCTCGATCGACAGGGGGGGAAATAAAATTCACCGACGATTTAAAAGTCTTTCTAAATGCCCCGGAGTGCCGGTGCATTATGTGTCTTGTCTGCATTTGAGTGTTACGTATACGTACACGATCGTGTTGGTTCATTCACCTGCTGCGTAGCTCGCTCTCCTGCGTTCCCCGCACCGTCGCTTCTTCTCTTGGCTTCTTTCGTTCAGTCTGTCTGGGCTCCCTTCATTATACTCTGCCTGTATTAATCCTTGGACCGTACATAGATCACGGTTACGTATCCAGCAAGCTTTAAAGAAAATTTCGAGACAAAGATGTCGTTCGATTATAAATTGTTGCATTTATAGATCGTCTGGAAATAATTTTTAAAATATCATTGTGAAGATTGTCAATGTTGCTCGATGAACCACAATGACATTTTGGACACGATGGTCGAAGCGAGATGTCGTTGGATAGGTACATACAGTTATTCACAAAATCGAACGTCTACCTAAATTGGCAATGGTGATTGGCGGAAAAGTAAACAAAAACACACAGTTTCAAAAGTAAAGACAGAATATGTACTTTGTTTGGATATTTCAGCGGTTAATTTAATGACGAAATTTTTGTTAAAAATTTCCTATTTACCTATATTTGATACCAAACGTAAAAGTACTCTTATTTGAGCGTACAGATATTACATTATACAAAAATAACAAAGTTAAACGTAATTTTAATATGTCGTTGCATAATCTTGTGCATTTATAACTGCCTTTAAATGTTTTTTTATTTGAGTTATTGCTAAACGATCACTCGACTTTAACTTTAATTCCAGCCAGAGCTGCTCAATTGGATTAATATCCAGTTTCGTACAGAAATATAGGAATTTTTATCACGGAAACTATTTATCGTATAGAAACGTATTTTTTCAGTTTTATTTGGAAATGATTGTCTTTTTTAAATAAATTTTCCCAATAATAATAAATTAGTAAAGTAAAAATTTAATAATAATTTCTGATATCGCAAATTATTATTCATTGAGAACAAAATTTATTTCGAAAGGCCATTCTTTTCTTAATAAAACTGACATGAATCATCTCAGTACGATAAATAGTTTCCAAGATAAAGCTTTAGAGGTCTGTATCTTTGAAATAAATTCGAAACCAGCAAAGTGATGACTTAAATTACCCCGAAATATTCAATTTTAAACAAAATTCAAGACATTGGAATGACAAAAAATTTCGCCCATTTTTAAAAAACCCGTAAACTTTAGACGTCTGTATTTTTTAAATAAATTCGAAACCACCAGTGACACTCTCTCCGGTAGATTTTACATAAATTTAAATTTGGCATAATACGTCGCAAAAGTTCCGTTAAAAAAAAATCCAATCCTCAAACTTTCTCACAACAATGTACAATTAAATGCCAACTATCAAGTAATTACATGCTTTTAAGATTTGAATGGAAGTTAGTTGCGTTTCACACCGTCTGATGGCAAGTATTGACAAAATCCACACGAAATATTCCCTCGATCCGATAGAATGCCAGAGAAGCGGGATTAGCTTCTAGCAGTAAGCACGAAAGAGCGACTTAGAACGGGCATCTAGGAAGCCTCGCAGCTCGGGCACTCGACTCTCGGGCAGATAGAAAAATGTAGAGAATGTCGAAGCGTCGACCAGTTTCAAGAACTCACCGCGACCGCGAGCAGAGGAGAGTGTGCAAGTTGGCTCGTGCAGAGCCACCTTGTCTCTTGGGTTTTATTCTTATCGTTCGATCGCGATGCACGTTGCTTTCTTGCCTCCCGCTAGAGCTAGCGTAATTTTTCTCCGCCGCCCCGTCGACTAACTTCGCCTTAGCGTAATTCTACCCCTCGACCGATCCGAGGATCCCGTTCAATTTACAGAACCGTAAATAAGGATTTCGGTTTTACGTTTTTGTTGCAGAAATCTCGCGTTCGGAATCGGCATTCAGAATTTTCCCGAGGGATTGGCGGTGTCTCTGCCCCTTCAAGCGGCTGGAATTAGCAGCTTGAAGAGCTTCTGGTACGGTCAACTCTCGGGGATGGTGGAACCTATCGCCGGTGTCCTTGGTGCTGCCGGAGTGACGTTCGCTGAACCTGCGCTACCTTATGCACTTGCTTTTGCAGCCGGTGCAATGATCTACGTAGTGATCGACGACATCGTCCCGGAAGCGCATCAGAGGTTTGTTTATCGCTTATCTATCGAACGACTTTACGCACGAATCGCGAACAGAATGTCGCGAATATATATATATCGGTGCCTGGGTGGAATAATTTTCGGCTAAGCGAACTGCTTCTCCCACACGTATAACTGAAACGATATCATTCCCCACCACTGTTTATGTTCATTTAGCGCGAGCAAATCAACCGATCCTTGTGCCCGATGATCCCAGGTGAGAGACGATTCGAATTTCATCTACTATTGAGAATCAGAATTTTTATATTTGTCGTTGTACATATCGTCGTGAGTCTAATCGATTAATTGAAGAGGTTTCCCCAATGAAACAAAGTCTAAATACGACTTCGATCGAACCGTCTTTAATTATAATAGGGTCAGTTGGACTGATATGGAGTACGTTCCTAATTTGGAACACCGCGATTTTCTCATCTATCGACGATGAATGCAATCGATTACATTCGTAAAAAAGTATTCAAGAAAATTTCGCAGCCTGAGCTTTTGCAAGGTGATCTTTGACCTAATATTACACATAATAAGGTAAGTGCATCAGCTTTGTGCTAGCTCGTTTATTTCTTCAAATATAGTCACATTTTTGTAATAATTGTCGAAATTACGGATTTCTATCTCGTAAAATATTTTTAAAAACTCAAGGAATAACAGTATATAGGGCGTTCGACCACGCCTGGGAAAAATGTTAATAGAAGATTCTAGAGGCCAAAATAAGACGAAAATCAAGGATACTAATTTGTTGATTTCGGTAAAGAATTTTTTTTCTCGAAAGTACGTAGGATTTCGGGGGTATGTCTATCCACCAAAAATGATTGTAATTGACATCCTCAACCGAAAATAATTTTTCCAGAACGATTTGAAATTTTTCAATTTTGTCGAATTTGACAACCTACTCGAATTTTTTTCTCGGAAGTGCGTAGGATTTCGGGGTTATATCTGTTCACCAAAAATACTTGTAATCGACCCCCGAAACCAAAAATAATTTTTCCAGAATAATTTGAAATTTTTTAATTTTGTCGAAAAATTTAGGCAGCCTCTATGATTGATTTTTTAAGAAAATTCATTTTTGATTTTTAATAAATTTGTTTGACGCTGTACGGAAATGTTGTCTAATACTTTTTTGTAGGTATCCATGAGTTCTCCTTCCATACTAAATTTCAATGAAATACATTTACTATTGTAGGAGTTATAGTCGTTTGAAGTTTGGACCATTTTTATCGGGGTTTTCTCAATTTACAGGGTTAACGAACAACTTTTCGGGATTTCTTAGAATGTCTATATATTCTACACCAAAATACGCGTTGTTTGCATTTTTTTAAATTAAAATCCACCAATCCGTTCAGGAGTTATGACATTTTAAAGATTCACATTTTCAGGGAAGCCTCACATTAGATTTTCGGTAAAGAATTTTTTTTTTTGAAAATGCGTAGGATTTCGAGGATATGTTTATCGACCAAAAATGATTGCAATTGACCCTTGCAATCAAAAATAATTTTTCTGTAAATGATTTGAAATTTTTTAATTTAATTTTTCATAACTTTTTAACAAATTGATATTCTTGATTTTCGTCCTATTTTAACCTCTAGAACACACTATACATAGAAAATGAGGACCTCAATATAAAAAGTAAACATTTTCTAAACTGTTATTATATTTTAAATTTGACTGTTACTAGTGAAAAAGGCATAACATTTCCTATAAATTCATAATATTTAAGTTTTTATAAAAGTTCTGCAAGAAAAAGTATTCCATATTAGGGCAACTGACCCTATCGATGCTCGGTTTATTGTACGTTTAAGGCCGCGACAACCTGAGAAGCAGAAGAGTGTGTGACGATAATTGTGACAATCTGAGAGACAGAACAGTGATCGAAAGTACTTTGAACGAATTCGCGTTTAAACTGATTTTCACTAGGAAAATCTCATCGATCCGTTTGTAAACTTTTATGAAGATGTAATGAAAAATACACAAATTTTTATTTTTGCTATTGGATGTTTCGTTCCGGGCATGCGTATTGTCACTCTCGACCGCAAGTTACCAGACGCGGGTAATCCGAGACTTGTGCCGTTCTTGTTCTATCTTGCTCGCTTTCGGTGTATCCTGTTTACTCTGCTTATTGGTCGTTATGTGCGTAGCTCAGCCACGGCTTGATGTAAAAACAGATTGATCCCTGATATGAAAACCCGACCTTTCCCCGGATAACTTAAACACAAAGGGTCCAATTTTGTTTAATTATTCTGGGATTACTATATTTGGCAATTGGAAAGAAAAGGGACCTATTGATTCGTATCCTATATGGTTCCAAAACTTTCTGCTAATAATAACGACCTCTTTACCGAGTGTGTTAAAAAAATGACGCGAATTTTCATTTTTTGCTTTAAAAAAGTAATCTAGCCATGGAAATTGATATTATCCCCTTCAAAGTAGCTCCTATTTAATAAAATACACTTGATCGAACGAACACTCGAGGAAAGCACTCTTTGTTGTTCTTTTCAAATCTGCGATTATGCTTTTATTTCCTCTGCAATCGCAAATCGTCTTCAATGTCCTCTTCATTCATGTTTTCTGCCAACAATTTGCGAATTAATAGTGACGTGTGAGCCACTGCGTTATCATAATGCAAAAGTTGTGTAAATGATTTGAAATTTTATAATTTAATTAACTTTTTAACGACGCCTCGATCAACAAATTGATATTCTTGATTTTCGTCTTATTTTGGCCTCTAGAATCTCCTATTAAAAGTAAAGATAACCAGTAATAACACACAGCAATTATTAACTGAGTAATATATGCGATATATAATATTATTTAAATATCTTTTTAAGATATTTACGACACTTTAATTATCAAAGGGATCATCTATCGTATTGTTGATACATTTAAATTTCCCGCACAATTCGACGGCCATCTTGCGACGTAGCACATCCCTTTCGTCCACAACGTCCCAAATTTTTAACGTTATTATGTTATAAAAACTTTTTATAAATTTTGTTGGGTGGATAGTATATCTCCAAGCTATTGTACGATAATTTATGCTTCCATGACAGACCGAAATTTCTTTCTTTTCTACCATTTTTTTATTATTTGACAAACACTCCAGCTCTCATAAATTCTTAATAAAAGCTGATTGCTTTCCTCGAAATAAATGAGATATTTCAATATAAAGTAACACGTCAGTCGAGTGTCCAATTAGTGTACAATTTACCTGTACAAAAATAAAAATATTTTCTTCGATTCTTTACCACATAATTTACATACCATACAATATAGTATAGTACTCTGTAAATAATACTATTTCGGTTAATATTCGTTGATAACTATTTCTATTAGGTGGTCTCATAAGTTCGTTTTTCTAAAAGTAGTTTTTTAACACGTTTAATGCAATGGGGGTCACCGGTGACCGGCACTCAGATTGATGGTAACGCCATGGAGGCATGTAAACATTAGTAAAAATAGATAATTATAATAAAGGTTAATACTTAAAAATTTTTCAATCCTATCATTGTTGCTACATTAATGCAGACATTAATGCAGTATAAAACATATAAAAATAGCTTTATTTATATCACCAGTACAGTCTTCATACTATGTCACGACTTTTTTAGTACAATTTTCTGCGATTGTCGTAACTAGTTTTATATGAATTTTTTTTTTACAACATATTTTTCAAAAATTGTAGCACAGTTCCCAATACTTTTCCCAACATTCTTTCAAACTCATGTCGTGATTTTTTCAGTAAGCTTTCACTATCATAGTACGAATTACTTGAGGCGTAATCTTCATTCGAAGTCATATTAATTTTAAGGGTTACCTAAATAATTAAATAGAAGATATGAAATGTAAAAATTTGTGTACTGTATAAGAGTGTAATAGATACTCTTACAAGAGAAACAGTTGCTTAACAACTCGAATAAGCAATTCAAGACAACTGATAATTGCAAAAAATAAGAAAATCGCGTGAAATCATTTAGCAAGATAGATTCATTGAACATAATTATACACTCCAACTTATCTGTTGTAGATAATATTTCAACATAATATGTGTCACACGATAAAAAATTCATGTTGGCGCGACAAGCAATCTACGTAAAATTAACTTGGTATTCAACGTGTTAAACATGCTCATTTTATTTCAAATTCGCCCACTGTAAAATCCCCTCAATGGACAAAACTGTAATTCGTATCAGCTTATTGAGTTACAGCTCTTGTCTAACTTTTTATAGGAATTATGAAGCTATTTGAAAGATGGGAATAGATCAGGACATAAAATTTCTTATCGAGTGAAGATAATTTCTACCTGTTTGCACTTTAGAACCGTACGAACTGGCCATCCCAATATAATAATTCGTATCTTGCTTCAAGTATTCCTCACATTTTTGCATATTAAGCGCACTCTGTGGTCTTTTCGAGAATCAAAATTTCCCATAAACCTATCAACATCCAATTAAGAGTGATCCTGGTTCATCGAGGATGTCGATCGTTGAGGATCCCCCAGTTGCAGGTGATTACGGATGCTTCGCCGTATTTCTTCTCCCCCGTATCACGAAACTGGTGTGAAACACTCGCGTAGAAAAGGTTAGAGGACTCCGGTAGGACGATAACCTTGGTTAGAAAAAAAGATTTGTTCCGCGACCATCGCGCGCGGTACCAAATACCTGGTTAAGTGGTGGGAAGGTAGGAGGATGTCTAGCATCGTCTACGGAGATAGACGCGCGCATAGAGCGTATTTGGGAACGATTACGGTACAATGGCGCGTGACGGCAGTGGCGTAGTTAGCACGGCGTCGGTAAAACGGACGTAGCGAATTTCTTTCCCAGGCCCGGCGGCCTAGCTGAAGACGCATTGTCATTATAATTGGCTTCTTTTGTATTTCGCGTGCGATCTAACCGCCCTGCCCGGATACCCGAAGCATATACCGTACATACTAGCGCGTTTGCTCCTGAGATAGTAGACCTCGGTTCGCTCCCTCGGGAACCCTCCGGGGCTCCGGAAAACACAAAAGTGAAAATGAATCCCCCCCTCCGCCCCTCCCTTTACCGGGTAAACCGTTGCTCGACCTCCAAGAGGCAGCGGTTGCTCGTGCACGCCGCGTGTGATCTTTTCCAAAAGAGAGACCGAGGGAAGAGACTACAATGCTCGCTCGCTTGCTTCGCTTTCTGGTTTAGCGGGACGACGGAGTTTCTTCGGGAAAGGCGCGAACGCGTGCGGAGGACGCAGTGAAATCTATTCTACCGCGTGGAGATCGAGCGATATCGCGACGAGAAGCGCGAAGGGACAAGGACAAGAGAAAGTTTCGCGGGATCTGGGAATCGGTTGGTTCTCGTGGATGGCGCGTGTGGTCGAGCGTCCGAAACCGACGATCGAGAGTCGAAGGGTAGGAGGGCCTGCGTTGCCTGGGAATCGAATTTTTCACGGCGAACGGGCAACGCGATGGCCGGTGGAATTCTTAGAACTCGGGTCGTTCGTTGTCATTTGCATGATGGACACGAATGTGACGATTTTTCGTACGATCGTTCGCGCAACCGTCGCTCGATACGGCTGTTTTCGCGATAATTTTAAACTGTGTAGGAGTTTAAATCATTAAAAAAATATAATATTTTATGCTTTCTGTACCGTTTTGTTTATAATTTATCGATTTAAAGCAACAGAACAAATAACATTATTATATTAGGACGACCCGTAAGTTTATGGAGTTCGATACTTCTGAAATTGACGAGGATAAAATTTGTAATTTAATAGATAACAAATAAAATTTGTTAGTTTGGAGGATTTTTGAAATTTTAAACATATTAACATCAACAATTCATCGAAATTTGAAATGAATAGATATTGTGTCATAGCTCGAAGTTTTGGAATTCACACTTATTATGGTGTAAAACCAGACTTAATATGGCCCTGCAAGAAGTAATCAAATGGCAGCAATTCTCTGCATGGCTGCGTTTCTCGAAATAATCATATTATGGAACTTCGATCTTTACAAAAGCAATATTCGATAGAAGTATGGGATATGGCACCATATTGCTAAAATCTTTATTTTGAAAGGAATAAAGGCCAATGACTCCATCAATCAAAACGACACACTATACAGGGTGTTCGGCCACCTCTAGCAAAAATTTTAATGAGCGATAGTAGAGGCCAAAATAAGACGAAAATCAAGAATACCAATTTGTTGATGGAAGCTTCGTTAAAAAGTTATTAACGTTTAAAGTGCCGCCCTTACTGAATTTTTTTCTCGAAAATGCGCAAGATTTCGGGGGTATGTCTATTCACCAAAAATGTCTGTAATTGAGCCCTACAACCGGAAATAATTTTTCCACAACGATTTGCAATTTTTTAATTTTCTCGAATAATCTCACACCTTCTCTATTTTTTTTCTCGAAAGTGGGCAGGATTTCATGGGTATGTCTAATGACAAAAACTGATTGTAATTGACCCCCGCAACCGAAAATAATTTTTCCAAAACGATTTGCAATTTTTTTTCTCCGTTGAAAAATTTAGGCACCTAATTGGATTTTCAGTAAGGAATTTTTTTCTCGAAAGTGCGTACGATTTCGGAGGTATGTGTAACGATAAAAAATGATTGTAATTGATCCCCGCAACCGAAAATAATTTTTTTAGAACGATTTGAAAAATTTTTTTTCGCCGCAAAAATTTCACCACCTACTCGATTTTTTTTCTCGAAAGTAGATAGGATTTCGGAGGTATGCGTACTCACCAAAAATGATTGTAGTTGACCCCCGCAACCGAAAATAATTTTTCCAGAACGATTTGAAATTTTTGAATTTAATTGTTAATAACTTTTTAACGAAGCTTCCATCAACAAATTGGTATTCTTGATTTTCGTCTTATTTTGGCCTCTACTATCGCTCATTAAAATTTTTGCTAGAGGTGGCCGAACACCCTGTATAGTAACTTTTTGCGGGTACAAGGGTTGTTCGACTATTAAACGAAGGTTAGCACCTTCCCAAATTCGACAATTTTGCTTATTGCCCGCTTATTAACAACCCGTTCACCAACTCTATATTCACACGTATGCCCAATAATACTTTCGAATCCATTTTTATTTTCATCTAATAATATACAGGGTATTCGACCACCCCTGGCGAAAATTTTAATTGGAGATTCTAGAGGCTAGAATAAGACGAAAATCAAGGATATCAATGTTTTGATTGAGACTTCGTTAAAAAGTTATTAACAAATTAAATTAAAAAATTTCAAATCGTTCTGGAAAAATTATTTTCGGTTGCGGGGGTCAATTACAATCATTTTCGGTGAATACATACTATATACCCCTGATACCCTATCCACTTTCGAGAACAAAATTCGAGAAAGTATGCAATTTTTTCGACAAAATTAAAAAATTTCAAATCATTCTGGAAAAATTATTTTCGGTTGCGGGGGTCAATTACAATCATTTTTGTTTATTAGTCATACCCTAAAAATCCTACCCATTTTACAGAAAAAAATTCGAGAAGGTGTGAAATTTTTCGACAAAATTAAAAAATTTCAAATCGTTCTGGAAAAATTATTTTCGGTTGTGAGGGTCAATTACAATTATTTTTTATCATTAAATATACCCTCGAAATCCTGCCCACTTTCGAGAAAAAAATTCGAGAAGGTGTGTATTTTTTTCGACAAAATTAAAAAATTTCAAATCATTCTGGAAAAATTATTTTCGTTTGTGAGGGTCAATTACAATTATTTTTTATCATTAAATATACCCTCGAAATCCTGCCCACTTTCGAGAAAAAAATTCGAGAAGGTGTGTATTTTTTTCGACAAAATTAAAAAATTTCAAATCATTCTGGAAAAATTATTTTCGGTTGTGAGGGTCAATTACAATTATTTTTTATCATTAAATATACCCTCGAAATCCTGCCCACTTTCGAGAAAAAAATTCGAGAAGGTGTGTATTTTTTTCGACAAAATTAAAAAATTTCAAATCATTCTGGAAAAATTATTTTCGGTTGAGGGTGTCAATTACAATAATTTTTGGTGAATAGACCTACCCCCAAAATTCTACCCGCTTTCTAGAAAAAAATTCAGTACGAGCAGGATTTTAACGTTAATAACTTTCTAACGAAGCCCCCATCAACAAATTAGTATTCTTGATTTTCGTCTTATTTTGGCCTCTAAAATTTCCCATTAAAATGTTAAAAATAACCATTAGTGTTAATGTTGCCGATATTGTGAAATCGATTAGTCATAGTGTTGCAGGTAGTTGAATTCGTGTCTCGTTGTCGCCTACAATATTATGAAGTTAAAAATACCTAGTTCCATTTAGAAATGTAACAGTAACCTTCATTTTTTTTATCGAAAATCAATTTGTTTTTAAATTTAAGCAACTTTAATTTCTTGTCGGTGAAACACTGATTAACTTAGATAGGAAACATTTCGAAAGGGGTTGAAAAATCGTGGGGATTAGTTCGTGCCTTACCCTGTATAATAATAATAACAATGCAATATTTTATTTGTTATTATTATATATCTCGAAATATGTACATTTTTAAATCAAATAATATTACCATTTAGTCAAAAATTTAAATACTACTCCTCATTGCGAATGTTGGTGCATGGATCAACAATTCTTCCTCTTAAGTAACCATAATTTTATAATATCTGTAATACACTTGACACTAAATTATGAAGAATTTACCTTCTATCATTTAAAACGATTATCCCACTGATAAATCACCCTGCAAACAAGAATACATCAAAGTATTTAGTGAATACTACAAACGGCGATATTTCAAAGTTTACGTTTATTTTAACTTTCTCACATTCTCACGAGATGTATAATCATATCCTGATAGAATTGTTCGTTGTCAGCGTGACCCCAAATCGGCCTATTTCTACCCACCCTCGTTTCGCCGGTGGCCCCCGGAAGCTTTTCTTCTCGATCGCGATAGACGGACGGAGCATCGTGCGTTCGTAACGCGCGATGAGACGGTAATGGCTAATAAAAGTACAAATTTCTGAAGCACACCGAAAGGAGGTATTTACCGCGCGGATATGATTGATGTGGTAGAACGCCCACCGAAACACAACGGCGCATTTCACCAGCCGTTAAAATTGATGGCCGTGTATAATTTACGAAATCAACAAGCCGTGACGTGCAATACCGGGGTACGCGCGTGTGTGTATGCTTTGTGTGTGCTTAATCCTTATTTGTGCCGTGAAAAACCCTTTTATTTCTCGCCATCTTGCGGTATTCTTTCTCTTTGGTCGTTGCCATGGCCATACCTGGATGATCCCCGACACGCCGCCGATCCTAACTTTTTCTGCCGCCACCAGTATCTCCCCATGGCTTGATTTTTCCATTCGCCTCCTCTATCGTGCTCCATCGCACGTGCTAATCGACATCGTCAGAGCCATCAGCCTACTCGTTTCCTCCTCTCAGATCCCACCGCCGCGACGAAAAAGCATGCCCGCGTTTTACAAAGTAGTCCGAAAGAAAATGTTTTTTTTCCCCTTTCTGATTACAGTGAAAATGGTAAACTCGCCAGCGGCGCTGCCATCGTTGGTTTCTTGGCGATGATGTCCCTAGACGTTGGATTAGGGTAAAATTTCGATGCACCTGCCGCGACACACAGACGTCAATTCCTCTCTATACACGTTCCGTAACAAAATATCCCGCGAGAAGACTAAAAACCACGATCGGGGTCGGTCCGTTTCGATCCAACGCTCGTTCGAATCGAAGACAATCGCGACACGAATCACGGCTAAAAACTTTGTTTACAGCGCGATAAAACTCGATTCAGAGCGTTTCCCGTATCGAAATTAGCGAAATGTGGCTTCCATGAATTTAGCCTCGGTTGATCCGACTCAGGAGTCAATCAGATCAACGAGACGATGACCTTCGGCAACGCTTTAGGAGAATTCTACGTCGTGGTCGTCGTTGCACAAACGGAAACGTCGAACGCGTGACGACGGAAAGTTTTGATCGGACATTGGAATCGCTTCTCTCAGGGAACGTTTATACCCCGGATCTTGTTTTCGTCCGATGCTAAAATCGCGAGGTCGATGCATCGTGAAGTACAGGCCGAGCGTCGATGGCCGTGGCGTTTCAATTCACGTGGGGCGCGGAGAAAAACCGGGTAATTGCTTCTCGAAGTTTCCCTGCCGTCAAACGAAAACGGTAGTTAATCATTCCTTGTAAAAAAAGATACGAAAACTAGAAGCGACGCGGAATACATCGCATACGTTTGCCTTTGGAGGGCGAGATTGGAAATTCGAGTTGACGCCAGAAGTGTTTGGTAAAAATTCCTAAAAAAAAAAAAAACAAAAAAAAAACAAAGAATTATTGCGCTCGTAAGGATCGTCTGGGTCGATCGGCTGCGCTTTCCGCGTATCGATCGAGAACGGTTCCCCGTGTCGCGTTACGCAAGATCCCACCCGTCTGTTTCTTAAATGCGTTTTTCTCACGAATAGTAAGAACGTCGCAACCTCGAAGTGTCTCTCGCACGGCACGCATGCAATCGTTTCGAGCATGCTGGGTAAGTGCACGCATATTTATTATGCTATATCCGCGATACATCATTCCAATCTTGTCGTTCGTGATCGATCCAACGATTCGAGAGCATGAACGTACGATCGATGCAGCATAATTGCCGGATATACGCGTGCAAGATGCACCGATCTTAGTTCTCAGGTGCACTGATTTAAGTTTAAACTGCCACCTTGCCATTCTTTGTTCCCAACAATGTATATACTTATCCGCCGGAGACTTTAATTTCATTACACTACACGTATCATCGTTTTATTGTATCCTCGACGTAGAACATTCACGCGTAAGATATGCAGTCGCGTCGGTATTTATGTTGACGCTGTTGCATCTCTGGTATCGACGATATTGTTCCATAATGTAAACACTTGTACGCGTCATTCCGTACATTTTGGCATTGTTTACGTTATGCACAAGAAATGGCTCGGTATACCAGCGAGTGTCAAAGCGAAAACACCGCGTGCAATCAAGTAACAGCCAGTCTGTAAAAATATTTCCTAAAGGTTTTATTTCCGCCGGAAAATAAGTTGACTGAAACTAGTTTTTATTTTATTAATCAAATTTTACTATTAAACGCGCATTTAATAACTTGATAATGCATTTAGACTCTTATTGTATAGTGTTTTTTTTGTTATGTATTGTTATTGTTAAGAATTGGTTACTTGTAGAATGCTGAAAATACGGGAATTACGTCCGAAAGATTATTAATTTTTAAAGGAGGAAGAGATGGCTGAAGTTTGCAACAGATTGCCACAGATTTTGGGATATCAAAGGAAGGGGTTAGAACGGGAAGAAAAAGAAAAACTACCCGTCAGGATCGAGAAATTGTTAAAATAACAAAAAAAGAACCATTTATTACTGCCAAACAGCTCAAAGAAGATTCAAATTTGCTAATAGGGACCACTCAAGTAAAGTCCCGTTTATACGAAGCTGGATTGCACGGTCGAATATCTAAAAGAGCATTTTAATAAACCGACTGCATTATGGGAATCCATAATTTGGAACGATGAGTCAAAGTTTGAATTGCAATCGAACAAACGAAGGAAATATGCGTGGAGAAAAGAAGGGGAAGGTTTTAAACAAAATGTTATCACCTCCACCGTGAAACACGAAAATCAACGATTATTGATGGTATATTAACAGTAACGAAATACATCGATATTTTAAAAGAAAATTTGTTCTTTTATCAATTCAAAAATTTGACTCAGATACAGAATATACATATACATATTCCAACACGTTCAAAAATTTATCGACGAAAACAATATATCGCTGGTTTCTTGACCACCACAGAGTCCCGATTTAAATTCGATTGAGCACTTATGGGACGAACTCGATCGAAAAATATCAAAATTGATAGCCACAATAAACATAGGATACAACCCAAAACGTATAAAAAAATTAATACACAGTACGTGAAATCGTTCACTGGAAGCAATTAAAGCCAAAGGGTATCGAACTGCCTTATTAAATATTTTTTTTTATTGTTATTTATAGAATTATAATTTATAAACATTGTCAACTTACTTCCCGATGGACGTTAATTAGAAAATATTTGTTAATGGTATTGTTACTAAAATGAACATAACTATTAAGACGACGTTATTTACTTAAGACCCGAACAAATTTATTTTTGTTAACATTTCGCATTTTATTTATTGTTATTGTATCCTTTCGCCGTTACTTTATAAAAACGATAAATGTCCACTTAAATACTGACGCGACTATAGATAGTGTATTTTCGTACATAATGAATGTCCGATGTAAACTTAAGAAATTTCTATGTACGTCGAGAGTCCGCTCGAGAAGGATTAAAATTCGTCGAAGTCGAGGAAGCTGCAGTTTTAAAAATTAGAATGCTCGCCAGAAACGGGAACAGAATTTCTGACGTTGCTACGTCCGCGGATAATTTTTATTCGGAGCTTCCTCAACGACCTTAATTTAAGCATTAAATTAAATTGTTCTTATCCGAGAGCTGAGGAAACTAATTTGGTTTATATTTAACTAAATGATATGCATTACCTGCATTTATACTAAATGAATTAATTGTTTGTACCAAAAGCAATAAAAAAAAAAAAAAAGAATTACAACCATTGTGGGGTAGTTACACGCTATCCGTTACACCGTGGAATTTTCCAACGCGCCTGCGAAACGCAGTTTTTGACCAGGAAAATGAAAGCTTTCCTGCAAACGGAAAGTTAGGCGACGAACATCCGCGTTTTTTATGAGAGTAGTCAAGAAGTCTCTTCTTCGCGACGCAAGAAGGACATTCAGGGTTGAATCGTCGCCCAAGATACATCATCATCGCCTAGTTTTAACCATATTTGATATTGTTGTACCGTGTCCGGGTTTCACACTTATTTGACACCGTCGTCTCACCGTTACACGGAAATCGAGCAGGATTTTCTGATCGTCTCTTGCCCCGATCCGGTCCAAAACGTGTCTTAGGAACAATCGGAAACGTCACGTTCAAACGATCGCTTTCTGGATGGTTAAAAATTATATGTCGAACACCCTGCACGGTCGCTCTTGGGACAATGGCTTAATCAGTAGTGCGTGGAGGCAGGAAGGAAGGCCGATATCGACAGGACAGAGAGAGATAACAAAATTCGATCGTTGTGCGGCAATATTGGGTTGGCCAAATATTTCGTGTGGATTTTGTCAATACCATCAGACGGTGTGAAACGCAACTAACTTCTGTTCAAATCTTAAAAGCATGCAATTATTTGATAGTTATGTTGTCACGAAAAACTTCGAGGATTTAATTTTTTTCATAATTTAGACATAATTTTAGAAATGAACATCCAAATGAAGCATTTACAACATATTATGTTATTATTAGACTGCGGATGTTTATGCATTTATGGGAAATTTTAATTTTCAAAAAACTACAGAATTTAGTTAATATGTAAGAATTATTATATCTAGGGGTTGAGACAACCCTCTACAAAGCTCCAATTTCATTAATTTTATTAATAAAGAAGATCCGCAGTCTAGTTATTATAAATTTTCTCGAAATAGTTTTCGAGATAAAAAATTCCAAAAATCATTAACTTTAGAGACCTGTATATTTTAAACAAACTCGAAACCAGCAATATGACTTAAATTGCCCTTAATAGCGTATGGTTTACTTAATATTAAATTTTAAACAAAATCTCAAACATCGAGGGGAAAAAAGTGATCGATTTGGCGTGGAATGACCCATTATTACTTTACTTTAATAATTTTATAATTTTATACTGTTTGGAAGTATTTCATCCTCACTAGTGCTGGTTACAATCACAAACTTTGTTAATTATTAATTGTTTTATTTGCCATATTTCGAACGTAAATTATAAATATGCAAATTCGATTTAAAAATTTCGAAGTTTATATAAAACACGATAATCCATTGATATTTCAATATTAATAGATAGTATACCGAAGTGGTATCGTGAACGATTTCATAAATCGATTCTTCACAGTTCGATTTCATGCTGCATCGATTCTAGTCACTTCAATTTAGAATGGATTCAACAATCGATTCTTTTTGCAAGAAGACTTTTTCCTAACTAGTTTCTTTTAACTTATTCCATAACATATTCCCCAAAATCGTCGTACTGTTCCCAGTACTTATCCCAGCATTTTTTCAAACTTATAACGTGGTTTTTCAGCGAGCTTTCACTATCATCGGATGAATTGCTTGCCGCACAATCTTCATTCGAAGTTGTATTAATTTTGAGGGCTGACCAAAAAATTAAATAGAAAATATGAAATGTAAAAATTTGTGTAGCGTATAAAAGTGTAACGATGGTCTTACCTGATTGGTGGATCCGCTCGAAAATAATAAACAAGCGAAACAGTTGCTCAACAACTCGAATAAGCAATGCGGGACAACTGATAGTAGCGGGAAATAAGAAAATAGCGCGAGCTCAAAGAAATGCATTTCAACGCCACGGAGGTCGCCGGTGACCTTCGGCAAGATAAACCCATTAAACATGATTATATTGTAGGATATTTGTGTTGAATGTTTGTGTCACGCTGTAGTTTGGAGTAATGTTAAGTTATGTGCAAAAGGATTGAGAGTGTTTTGTTAAAAAAGAAGGGGTTACCAGGGACAGCGAGACAACGGGGAGAGAGTGACGAGTGATTGAAAGAGACAGACGTGATTTGAATTTGTGTGGATAATTAATGAGATTTTGATTTGTGTAAAAAGATTGTGTGTTTGTTGTGTTTCAAATTCGTTCATTTAGTTATATTATTTGTACATTTGTTCCCAAATACAATTCTTTTTCGTTAAATCCTACAATATGCCTCAACTTATCTGTCGTAGATTATATTTCAACATAATATGTATCAGAAGATACAAAATGCGTGCTGGCATTCCACATATTAAACATTTTTATTTTATTTAAAATCCCCGCAATGGACGAAATCTCGAAGAGGTTATTGAATAACGTTTGTTTAGCTTTTTATGGGAATTACGAAACTATTTGGATGCCCCTAATACAACAGAAGTAATAGCAATCGATGTTTAGTTGAGTTTTATTATGCTTCACTGTAAAACAGCTGTGATTTTGCTAGTTTACAAGGACCTAAACGTTATTATTGGCGTATTTCTACGTATGTACTTTTACCTCGCCAATGGGTACGAATGGCTGTGTCATTGAAAGATGGGAATAC